AATAAAACATTTTGTGCTTCCTTTTTCTTAAATCATTCTGTAGTTCCTTTATTTTTATTGGATAGAATATAGCATAGTTTATGTATCTGTTAGACATTCGGTTATTTCCAGTTTCTTGCTGGTGCACATAAGCAAGAATTTTGGGTATATATCTAAGAGTGGTATATACTGAGTGGACATTGTTTGGATGAAATTTTAGGTGGTTATATACGTCAGACTTCTTAAAATTTCTGTGGGCTTGGTCATATTTTGATTACATCCTTAGGTCTTTACTTTGTTAGGTGCTTTATTGCCATCTGCCCATAGGAACTGTGAGTATGAGTCACTGAGGGCAGAGGCCTAATTTACTGATCTTCCATTCCCCATTACTTAGGTTGTTGCCTGGTAAGCAGGAGGTACTTGTTTTCCTGAATGAGTTGAAAGATTTTCTTAAGCTTTGGGGAGCTCATGTCCAACCACTATGAAAGTAATACTTTTTATCCCGCTTCTGGGACTAGGAAGAGTTGAATATGTTGATAAAGGTGGCCCCTAGGTTAAATTGGATTTCTGTTCCACTTAAGTGTTGATAATGTAGTCTGGTCCTGAACTGGGATGATGGACTCTCCAAAGCAAAAACTGGGAAGCAAGATAGTTTTTTGCTTTATTTTATAGTTTTCCCTTTGAAGATCTCAGGAGGCATCTATTTAGTACATATGACATAATCTGTATCCCTTTGGTTTAATAATTTAGTTTAACTCTAATTTTTTTTTCATTTATTTACTGAATGCCATCTATTATGTTGTTAATAAAATAGGCATAGTCCTTGTTGTTACAGAGTAAGTTTTGGTCCAGTAAGGCAGTGAGACATTGAACAGCTAATTATAAGTGAGTGTGTGGAGTTTAAGTAAGGGGAGCTGTAGGGATGGAGTAACCTAACCTCAGGGGAACAGTTCCTTGGGAATGACCCTTAAACCAATACTTGGAGGATAAGTTGGAATGAACCTTGTACATTGGGATGATCAACTTTTATATGAGGGTACTTCAGAAAGTTTGTTGAAAAATAGAATTAAAAGATAATACAAATCTTTCCATGAACGTTTCGAAGTACTTTGTATGCATATAGATAGCTAATAATCATAGTACAGTGAAAAATGGAGAACGATTTAATTGCTTTGCTCTTTCAGATAAATAGCCAATGTCTCTGTTCTCGATTCTAATTCTGAAGTGTTCCTTTAATTACTCTTCTATTCTATCCCCACTACGCTACTGTGATCTCTACTTTTAATACAGCCACATCAATCACAGCAGAAGTTCCCTAAAAGTCACACTTATCATGTTTCTTTCTTCCATAAGGACCTTGGTGATATACCAATGCTCAGATAATAAGTTAATACTTTCTGAACACTGCATAATTGTTATTCATTATTGCCCTCGGGATAAAGTCCAAATCCCTAAGCACAGCATTTAAAAGGCCCTTTTCTTCCTGATCTTATCTCTTATTTCTCCCCAACACCCCCATATGCCCTGTTTTCCAGTGACATAATACAACTTTGTGTCTCCTGGGCATTCCATGCCTCTGTGCCTTTGCCAGAATTGTTGCTTCCCTTTTTTTGCCACATGGAAAAATTCTTTTCATCTTTCAAGGCCCAGCTCAAATGTCTCCTTTGGAAGTCCCCATCAGTAATGTTTCCTATCAGGAACAGATGATCCCTCACTACTTAGTTTATACTGCTAATGCATTAGTATACCCAAGTGGACCTGACCTCTGTGATGGGAGGAATCTTTCCTTAATCATTTTTTGTCTCTGCAATGCCTAGGAGGCAGTCAGTTCTCAGGTTTAATGCAGAAATTAATGAATGAATATAGTTAATCAGTATTCCATAAAAAAACCAGATACTAATGATACCAAATTAGGAATTCTCTATCTCCTACATACTTCTTGGTTCTGTATAAACAGAAGGGAAAGATACCAGTTCAGTCATTTTTCCTGTCTTTGCTACTTCAGATTTAAGTTAGTCTGAAATCTGACTTCAGCTTTGTTTTTGGCAGATGCTTGATGAAAACACTTTGCAAAATGAATCTTGAACAAATGGATATATCTCTGGGAATAAGATCAGGGGTTCAAAAACCAAGGAGGTAGTATATTAAGTGTCAAATATACTACAGTATGGCTAAGACAGATGGAAGCAGAAAAACTGGCACCTAAAATTTTAAAATACAAGGGACAGAATTAGGTGACAGGCATATAGACAGCCCCAAATCCACATCCAGAAAAGATCATAGGAATTGCAGAGAAAAGGCCTCCTAAGTCTTTTCATCAATTAAGTCACCATGGCAATCCTACGGAAGTGGAAAATATTAGACACAACTCAGGTACAGAACAGGCAGTCATCTAAAAGGTTTCTTCCTGACTCCAATGGGCTTCAGGTCTAGAGGGATTTGCTCTGTACAGAGAATGTGCAGTAGAAGACAAGCCCTCTTTATCTGTAGTCCTCACAGTAACACTTTAGAAGACTTTAAAACTGGACGCTACTAGGGCTGGCCCGTGGCTCACTCAGGAGAGTGCTGTGCTGCTAACACCAGGGCCACGGGTTCGGATCCTATATAGGGATGGCCAGTTCGCTCACTGGCTGAGCATGGTGCTGACAACACCAAGCCAAGGGTTAAGATCCCCTCACCAGTCATCTTTCAGGAAAAAAAATAAAATAAAAATAAAAACAAAAACAAAAAAAAACCTGGATGCTACTCAGTCTTGGCAAAGGTACAGGAAAATGGGAACTATCAAACACCACAGGGGCTGGAGGAGTATAAATTGGTTTAATCTTCCTAAGAAACAATTTAACAATGTGTATCAAAGACCAAAACTCCAGTCCTAGCAATTTATAACAAGGAAATCATCAGGGCAAATATTTAGCTACCAGGATGTCTGCTATAGTGCTGTACATAATAGCAAACTGCCTCTTACCCTGAAACCCTCAACATTCAGCAACAGGGCAAACAAATCATTATTCACCCAAAGAATAGAATGCTCTATAGTAACTAAAAATAAAGTCAATGAAGAATTTTAATGACACAGTAAAAGCTAGATTACAGTATAAGTATGTAGGGTATTATCTAAATATTTTTTAAACATAAGGTATACATGAATACCCCTGTGCACACAAAAAGAAGACTAAAAGGAATACACCAATAATAATAGTAACCACTTCTGGATAACTCATAAAATTTAATTAATTTACCATTTTAAACATTTTTAAGCATATAGCTCAGTGGCATTAAGTACTTTCACACTGTTGTTTAATCATCATCTCCAGAAGTTTTTCATCATCCCAAACTGAAAACTGTACCCATCAAACAATAACTCCTTATTTCCCTGCCCCAAGTCCCTGGTAACCACTATTCTATGTTCTGTCTCTATGAATTTGACTATTCTAGGTACCTCATTATAGGTGGAATCATAGAGTATTTGTCCTTTGGTGTCTGGCTTATTTCATTTAACATAATATTTCCAAGGTTCATACATGGATGATTTTTGTTTATCTGTATTTTCTAAGATTCCTATGATGCACATGTATAACTTTATAAGAATATCAGGCTTTTCGGAATTTCATCTAATCTGGCACTTTAGGAAGTTCAGAAAAAAATATTATTTACTTGGTGGTAGCTAAAAATGTATTTAAGATTTAGATGGGAAAAAGAAGCCATGGCAGGATGAATCAAGGGGGTCTAGACAGCTCCATTTTAAGAATGTGACTATCACATTTCAGAGAAGGTAGGCAAATTGCCTATGGTCACACAGCCAGGTACAGAACTCTCACCAATATTATCACCAGCAATTGGTGTGTGTGTATTCCATATAGGAACCTGTGCTGGGAATACAAAGAGGTAACTGTAAGAAGTTGTCAATCTAGTAAGAGACAAGTACATGAAAAAATAAGCTGAGATCAGTCTGAATTTTTGAATATGAGAATTTGGAAAATTCGGGTGCCATTGCTACAAAATAGAAATTAAGGAGAGGGGCTGGCCAGTTAACTCGGTTGCTTAGAGCGTGGTGCTGATAACACCAAGGTCCAAGGTTTGATCCCTATACCAGCCAGCCGCCAAAAGAAAACCCAATCAAAAATTAGAAGACAGAGCCAGGTTCTTTGAGGAAGATGATATTAATTTTTAAATACTAAGATAGAGAATACTTTTTCTAAGAGACTATTCTGCCCTGAATATAGAAACACTTAAAAAAAAATTTTTTTTCTTTTTTCTTTTCTGAGTACAGAAACATTCACATTACTTAATGTGGTAGATATGATAAAGCTGTTATCCTCTTCATAAGTAAATTATTGGCTTTGACCACTAGGTCCAGGAAGTAAAATTGTATACTTTCTTTTTAAAGAAAAAAGATTACTATCAGCACTAAAGGACAATTAGTAGATTAAAAAAGAAAAAAACAAAGAAATATCCACAAAATAGTGAATGGGTGGATGGTCTCTAATAGAAAGAGAACCAATTTGTTACCAAGAATAAACACACCTGTCTTTTTTTTTTTTTTTCATTTTTTGTCTTTTTTTCGTGACTGGCAACGGATTGCAACCCTCAGTGTCGCACCCGTACCGGACCGGGACCGACAACGGGATTGCAACCCTCAGTGTTGCGCCTGCACCTCGCTCAGCCAGTGAGCGGCCGGTCTGTATGTGGGATCCGAACCCTCGGCGGGAGCGCTGCAGCACTCCCAAGCGGTGCACTGTAGCAGCGCGCCACCGTGCTGGCCCCACTCCTGTCTTGATACAAGAGTGCTTTCATATATGTTTTTGCTATAGGGCAAATGGGTTTTGAAGGTTTAGTTTATTCACTAAATTCAGTATTTAGTGTTCTGCAGTGAGCTAGATGGTGTGTGTGCAAGAAATAAAATAGTGTGAGTTCCAGAGGTGCTTACAATCTAATTTGAGGTGACAAGGCACCACACCCAACTGTTAAGCTATTGAATAAAAGGGATGATGTCAGCAAATCTAAGAATGTGGGATACATACCACTGAATGCAAAAGACACCACACACCCATATCCACACATGCTTTTTACCTGTGTGGATAAAATATCACTCTGAGAGGGCGGCCCTGAGCAGTCTTGAGAGAGGATTGTTTCACTCTCATCCCCAGATGCTGCTGCACCTTAAATGATAAAAAAAAGAGGTTCAGATGTAAAAGCAGATTGTAAATGCTCCAACTTGCTGTATGTTTCTTCCCATTGGCAGTTGTGGTTTCATTTTCATGTCACAGAAAATGATTAAACTCTTTGCTCTGGGACACTGGAATTTCCTATTAGAAATCCTAACAATGAAAACCAGAAGCAAGTCCACCAACTATTAGGACATTAAATCTCTCACTTAGAGAAGACGTCCTAGCTGGGTGAATGACTTTTGACCTTAAGGAAAAGCACCTTAGGATAAACCTGCTTCAAGCTTAAGAATTACTTTAACTGTATGTGGAAACTCATAAAATGTGCTTCCCAAAAGGCATAACCATTTAGCTCATTTCTATAAGAGACTGGGCAAACACAAAAACCTGGTTCCAATACCTAAGTTTGAATCCACACTCTGTTCTTCTTCGTGATTATATTCTTCCAAGGCAGTTTCCCTTTCTTCATCATCTGAAACCAATTCCTTGTCACTCAGAACAACTTCCTGGTTTTCAGACTGATGCTTTACATGGTTGGAAGGAGGATCAAACATCAAGAAGGGATCCTGGGTGTTTGTATTTGTAGCCAGGTCTTCTACTGCACTGTATTGTGATGAAAACAAGCTACAAGAACATTTTGCTTCCTCATTAAGGTGATGTTCCTGGGATGCCTCTGCCAGTATTACCTGGTTACTGCAGTCATTCAAGCTATTCTTCAATGATACTAGGTTATCCTCTGTTTTCTTAGGTAGATACTCTGTGGCAACAGCACTATGTCTGGTGGATTGAGAAGGTATATTGGTTACTTTACCAAATAATAAGTGTTGGAAGCAGGGAAGCTCTTCATCCTCACTAGATACGTTCTCTTCAGAAGACTCTAATTTCCTGGCTCCTCTTTGGTGACCCTGAGCCAAACATGTTTGGGCAAAAGGGCTAGGGCTCCTGCTTAACTCTCCTCTCTGGACACTTTTGCTAAAAACAGCAGATCTTTCCTTACTGTCACTTTCAGCAAAGCTGGTGTTTTCCTTTATCTCATCACCATCTAACAGGTCATCAGGTGTCTCAGAACAAACCTGGGAAGCATGACTACTTTCCATAGGTTGTTCGAGGTTATGTGAAATTAGGCACAGAGACAGATTTGTATTAACAGCCTGAACTATTCCTTCATTTTCTTCTTGCCTTATTTCAGGATGTTTACAATTACCTAAAGGAAGATTTTGCTTGTAAACTTCAGGTTGCATGAGGCCTAATCTAAGCATAGCACTTAATTTAGGTCCTCTGTTTCTACCTAGTTCTGCTTGAATGTTTTCACCACTGGAACCTACTTCATTAATACTGGAGCCTACTTCATTAGTACTGGAACCTACTTCATTAATACTGCTTGAGCTGGCTTCTTTAGAAGCACTGTCTCTAATGTTATTTTGGCTAATTGTGTTCACTGTACTTTGAATGATTCTCTTGTTTGCCATTGCTCTTTCAGGTGACACTGAATGTTCCTCAAACCTTTCCTCTGACAGGTTCTTCTTACATTTAATTTTAACAGATGACCTGATGGGGGAAAGTGATGACATATGACATGAGTTTTGTAAAATTCCATGTTTATTTGCAGTAATGAGTTCAGTTTCATTGCCTCTGAACTGAGATGATGAACAATGCCTAGAGACTCCTTTAATGCTAAATTTGGCATAATCACCTGGCTTCTTAACATTCTGACAAAGGACAGAAAAGCCCACAGTGGTATTAACTGCCTGTATGTGCTTGATTTTAGACTCTTTATTTCCCTCATTTTCTTCTTTTTGTTCACATTCAGGAGTGACTTTTGGACTTTGTTTCCTTAACAACCTGGAGTGGGCATAGACTGTTGCACACTCCTTTTCTGGATTTCCTGGATTTGAAAAGAGAGCAAATGACTGACGTTTTGAAACCTTGAATATATTTTGTAAATACTGAGTATCAAGTTCACTCTCTTGCATTTCTATGCTTGTCTTCTGAATGTGGTCAACTCCACATCTCAATGGATCCTTAAAATCCTCTGTGTCATTTCTAGTACCTTTAGGACAACCATGGATAAGTTCTTTGGGGTTTTCAATTGCTGCACACTGATTTGCATGTTGACTTGGTGCTGTTTTTGCCTTCCCTAGGATGTTAGCTTCTAATATTGAGATACTGTCTTGAGTGCCATAATCAGTATCAGGTACTAATGAAATACTGGTACTCTCTACAGATCTTTCAGTTTGCAAACCCTTCTCCCCACTTAACACCAAATCTTTGGGGTCTTTGGCACTATTAGACACATGAATTGTTTCTAGGTTCTCTTCTATTTCTTCTCTTTGAAGGCTAGGATCGATAAATTCTTGAAGTTTATTAGAACTTGAACAGTTAGCAAAAAAAACAGGTACATTTGTTAACCGCAGTTCTGGGAAAGCATTACTGGAATGTCTTCTACTTATTTGTTCATTTGGCTTGTTACTCTTCTTGGCTCCAGTTGCAGGTTCTTTATTTTCCATGAGTTGAAGCTTTCTGCTGTGCCTGACTGGCATTTGGCTGGAATTTTTTTTCTCTATTTCTTCACTGCTAGAACAACTATCAATTTGTAGTTCAGTATAATTAGGTGGGCTTGGATTTCTATTGACTACTAGTTCAAGTGCATGAATATGCCTAGTAGAGGACATCTTCCTCAGCCTATTCTTCTTAGATGGTTTTGAATTGTGGATATTTAATTCTATTTCCATATTGCTTATACTGCTGCTTATAGGTTCTGCTTTAGTTCTGAAAGCAGATTCTTTTTCCAATGATTCTGCTGGGTTAGCATTTTTCTCTTTCTGAACATAATCATCCTTTGTTTCATTCTCATGACCACTATTAATAATATTCATCACTCGATCATTCTGCTCCATTTGGTCAATTCCCTGATTTATCTTTTCAGGAGTTTTTTGAACAACTGCCAAGTCTGCTTTCTTGATAAAATCCTCAGGATGAAGGCCTGATGTAGTTCTCCTTTTAGGCTTTACCTTATTTGTGAGGGGACGCTCTTGTGTTATCTGTGGTTCTGTAACAAATGCTCCTATAATTAGATCTTCATTTACGTGGCTCAAGTTAGGGAGGCTTGTCTTCCTCTGATAGGTTTTCCCAAATATTTTATCTTTGATATTACTCTCTACTGGTCTGGAGTGGATTCTTTCACTTTTACATATTAAAGCATCATGAGGATCACTGGCCATTAAATCAACTTTCTCTGAAGAATCAGAATATCCATCTACATCATTTGGAACTTCTAATGCACCAGCTACTTTGGCATTTGATTCAGACACCCTGTCACGTGAGTCATCAGAAGCTAAAATTTCATCACTTCTGGAAAACCACTCATTAACTTTCTGAATGCTGCTGTTTAGTGTTATCCAAGGAACATCTTGGGTATCTCTAGGACTCTCAGGGTATGGAGGTTTCTGCATATTCCGTTCTTTTCTCCCATGCTGGGAATCAGCATTTAGATCTATCTTTTTCTCTGTGCTGGGCGTCTGCCTATCATTACATGTTTCCTTACTTTCAGCCCATCTGCTCTCCTGGCTCCTTGCTAAGCCAGGCTGTTTGCTTTTATTACAGAATTCAGTCTTTTCAACATTTATTCTGTCTTTAGTGCGTAATAAACTGCTGTTCTCATGCTGTAATGAGCTGGCATGAGTATTTGTGCCACATGGCTCCACATGCAAGTTTGAAACAGAACTACCCTGATACTTTTCTGGATGCCTCTCAGTTGCATGCTTCTCAATCGTGTTCAAATCTTTATCACAGGATTGATGATGTTCAATATTAGTTATGTCCTCTGAAAACTCACAAGCAGCTGAAAATATACGAAATAACAAGGTGCTTAAAAACTGAATTATCATGAAAAAATATATACTTAATATAACTTCAGGGTGGAGATCCAGCAACTGGTTATTTTTAGAAAAACTAACTTCATAAACTATCAAATATACTGAAGATATAGGTCATATTCTTTAATTTATATTTACTTGGATTCTCATTATTTCCACTCAAGATATTAAAATTTTAATATCAGAATTTTCCCTATGCATAAACCACACCTATTTCCCTAACCTCTATGAGTGAATTAAAAGCACACTGTTTGGTCATTGGACACATAGTATTCTTTAGATCTACAGACTCATACTCTCTATATTTAAAAACCAGTGGGCAAAAGATGGAATACAAATGCATTAATTAAAAGTAAAGGGCAACAACCAGGTATGTAGGGTACTATTATAATCACATCAGTCTAGCACCATTAAAATATATCAGGCTGTACTGTATCATGACATCTGAGAAAGAATGATATTCTAACTCTGCCAAGAAATGTCTGAATTATAAATGTCCCAAATGGTCTTAAGAATAATCTAATTACAGTACTGTATCTACCCACCCTCTCTTCAGTGCCTGTTAAGTTGGGAAGACTTGCCATTACCCTTTTTTGCAGAATCCAAACTGGCTTCATCCCTGGCTCCTTGAGGGGTAATCTGTAACAATTCTTGGTTTCCCACACTACAGGGAAAGAGAGAAGCCCTAATGAGGAACACTAGTTATATGCTCACAGAACTGTCAAATGAGCAAGATCAAATATTTTAGCTCCTCCAGGTAGGGTTGTAGTAAGCTAACCAATCTGATTCACTTCTTGTTTTATTTTTTTGGCACATGGCCAGTACAGGAATCCAAACCTTTGACCTTGGTGTTATTAGTACCATGCTCTAACCAAGTGAGCTAACTGGTCAACCCCGATTCACTTTTTGAAATCTGCTCTATCCCTTAGTAACTTATAGTGGAAATGGAATTGTCAAAGACTGAGGACACAGTCACAAAAATAAGAGCAGTAGTGTAGAACCTTGCTTTATGGACATGCAAATGGGAGCCAAAATTTAAATGAAAGCCAAAAGATAGTTTTAAAAAATGCTTAAATGTTCTCATTCAGAGCCAGTTAGCTCACGTGGTTAGTGCACGGTGTTGGTAATACCAGGGTCAAGGGTTCGGATCCCTGTACCTGCCAGCTGCCAAAAAAAAAAAAGTTCTCCTTCATATGTGGAAGCTAAAAAAAAGTTGGTCTCATAGAAGTAGAGTAAGAATAGTGGTTGCTAGAAGCAGGGAATGGTAGGGAGGAGAACAGGATAGGGAAATGTCGCTTAATGGGTACAAAATTATAGTTAGATAGGAGGAGTAAGTTCTAGTGTTCTATAGCACAGTACGATGACTCTAGTTAATAATTTATTGTAGATTTCAAAATAGCTAGACGAGAGGATTTTGAATGTTCCTAACACAAGAAATTATAAATGAGGTGATGGATATCTCAATTACCCTGATTTGATCATTATACATTGTACACATGTATCAAAATATCACACATACCCCATAGATATGTACAATTATCATGTATTAATTAAAAATAACATTCAAAAATGCTTAAAAGTATATCCTAATGAGAAGGCAGAAGCAAAGATAGCTAAACAAAGGGAGCATTAGGATGGAGCAGACATCCCAATAGAATGCAAAGACCACTACCTTGCTACACTGCCTTCTGTGCTTCTTTTCAGGTTAAAAACCACTTCTTTTTTTTTTAGGGCTAGCCCATGGCTCACTTGGGAGAGTGTGGTGCTGATAACACCAAGGCCATGGCTTCGGATCCCTATATAGGGATGGCTGGTTGGCACACTTAGGAGAGCATGGTGACACCAAGTCAAGGGTTAAGACCCCCTTACCGGTCATCTTTTTAAAAACAAACAAACAAAAAAACCCACTTCTTTTTAATTGTGAGATTAGGAAAAAGTCATTGGTAAACAAAACTGACTGACAATGACACCAACATAGTTCAGACGTGCTATTACAAATCTTAGGGTCAAGCAATAATTCCTTAGGAAAGCAATCTGGCAGGTAACCCAGTTGGGAGCTTCTCGTAGGTTACTGCATAATTTATGGAGACAGAACTGGAGAAATGGGTGGAATTAAAAATCAGAGGAAAGAAAGTTGAAAATGGAGTCCTCTAATATTTTCATCAGCCACAATTACTACTGTGTCAATACTATTGTATACGAGGAACTCAGCTAGAGAATAACCATCTGCTAGAAGCAAGTGTGTGTAGGGTTCTACTGTAATCCTAAACTCCTTTGGACATTACTAAGAAATAAGTAAATCAAACAAGCAAACAAAAAGGGTATTTCCTCAGTTATAAAATGAGAGGATTAAACTAGATGATATCTAAGATTTCTTCCAATACCACGATTCTAATCTAGAGAAACACCATCTTTAATATTAACTAAATATGAAAATACCAGCTTCACAGACAAAAACTCTCTTTGACATACCTGCAATGACTTGCCTTATTAACTGTATCTTCAGAAGAATCAGATCCTAAAAAATTTCCCCCAAAAAACAAATCAGCAAAAGGTTTTTTATTAAGAGTTAAACTCAACAAAAGTACTTGTTGCACAACAGTTACTCATGGTCTAAAATATTTACTGAGCACCCGTTATGTGGCAGGCACAACAACAGATATGTCGGGCAATACAGAGAAGTAGTTAAAAGCACAGGTTCTGAAGCCCAACTTCCCAGATTTGAATCATGGCTCTGCCACTTACTAGCTTTACTACCTTGGCAAAATTTCTTTCTTTTTTTTTAAATTTGGCAGCTGGCCAGTACTGGGATCAGAACCTGCGACCTTGGTATTACCAGCACCACTCTCTCCCAGCACCATGCTCTCCCAAGTGAGCTAATTGGCCAGCCCCGATAGCAAAATTTCTTAACCTCTCTACACCTTAATTTCTTCATCTGTAAAATAAGTATAATAGTAACAGCCTCCAAGGTTTGTCCTGCACCTTAAATGAGTTATACAAGAAAAGCACAACAGTCCCTGGAATATAGCTAAGTGCTCCTAAATATTAACTAATACAATTATTTTTACGACATAATACCTGTTTCCCAGGAATTTATGATCTTAAGGAGAGGAAAGACATAAAAGGTAATTTCAGTAAAATTTAGTATTACAGTAAACATACAATAGTGCTCGGGAGCTGAAGAGGGCCACCCTTTCCAACTATAAATATATTCTTTTTTTTTTTTTTTTCCTTTTTGTCTTTTTTCGTGACCGGCAACGGATCGCAACCCTCAGTGTCGCGCCCGTACCGGACCGGGACCGGCAACGGGATCGCAACCCTCGGTGTTGCTCCCGCACCTCGCTCAGCCAGTGAGCGGGAACCGGTCTGTATGTGGGATCCGAACCCTCGGCGGGAGCGCCACCCGCGCTCCCAAGTGGCGCACTGTAGCAGTGCGCCACCAGGCCGGCCCCAACTATAAATATATTCTAAAACATTGGCAATTAGAGAGATCTGTTTTAACTCTGAGAGTTCAGCTGTTCTAAAAAGGCTTCCTAATCTAGTACAGTTTGTCTTGGAGCCCTCTAAATGCTGTAGCAACCCATCATGTTCTTTTTTATCACTACTCTCCATCTTTCCAAAAATAGTTATACATATTTAAAAACAAGACATCCATTCTTTTGCCTCCTTTATAAAGTTCTTCAAGGTAAGAACTCTATCTTTTATGTTATTTATAACTCACCATAGGGCTCATAAAATTATTTTATTTTCATTTCCCAAAGCTCCCTGCCACACACATAAATTATGACCTAGGCTTTTGGCAAAACTGTACGCAATCCAGCAGCTATTATTCTAAACTTACGTAATCTGAGACCCTTACCCAATTCAATGTAGACAGACTTATTTTGAGGTTGTATCTGCTGCTTTGTCCTCAGAGATCGCACACTTCCAAGCTTAGAGAGATGGACACTAAGATTGTTTTCCTGCTAAGAAATACAGTGTAAAGAATAGTCAACCAAGTGTTGGTCAGTTCTGTGCTTTTTTTTCCTGAAGAGAAACTTGAGACCGTGGACAAAACACAATAACCATCGGTTAGCTAAAATTTATGACACCTAGAAAAAACACTAAAAAACTACACACTAAAATGTGTGGGTTATATGTGATTTGAATATTCCCGCCTCTTTCTGTTGTTTTAAACTTTTCCAAACTAATTATGTATTACTTGTGTAAATTTTTTAAGTATTAAAATAGCATATGTTGAAGCTGATACTTGATATACATTTCCAATCACATCTGATAACAGGGTTGGCAACTAAGATAAAATAAATTTTTAAAAAGGATAAATGACAATGAAACCTCAGCATTCCTAAGAACATTTAGTAAGGGAAAGAATACTTAAAAGCCCAACGTTACTTCAACAAATCTTTTCTTCTTCCTTTCCAGCCCCTCTAAGTCTACTGAAAAATGAAAGCTGCTATAATGAGAACTATTTTTTTTTTGGTGGCTGGCTAGTATGGGGATCCAAACCTTTGTCTTTGGTGTTACAAGGCTGCACTCTAACAAATAGAGCTAACCTGCCAGCCCAAGAACTATTATTTTTAAGATCTCCATTATCCATTCACATATAAGTAACAGAGCAAATCACTGAGTTTTCTTTGACAATTATACCTTTTAAGTTGAAGTAATTTTCAAATACTTAAAAAGATCAGTGACTTTGTGGCTATTTTTGACAAGCATCAGAGCAGATAAAGCTCCAAAGCGGGGAAAAGGCCTGAAAGGTCTCTCTTGACCACACCGGGTATCCTGACCTTTGAACTCAAACGGATTTGAACATTCATCTAACCACTTAATTTACCATCTTCCCTTCTTTACTGACTTTTTATATAAATCCATGAGCATCTAGCAACTTATTACCTTTTACTAATTTATAATGCTCCATAAAGAGATGTTGCCAGAATAAACAAAAATGGCTTTACCAAGATAGGATTTTCGGGTTCTTTCTGTTGAAGTCTTTTGGTACGGTTTCGGTAGCCCATACTTTGGATAATAGAAAATTCCTCCTTTAGATGTTCAGGAGAGTTATTTCCCTTTTTTGAAAAGTTGTAACTGTTTGCAACTGTGAATTACAACAGAACATTATTTTTGTAGTTAGAAAAAAATGTATTAACTGTAATCAAAGAAACCAAGAGAAATCCTGTGTATGCTTTGTGATTACCCATAATACATTAAGGTTACCTATAACTTTTAAAAAGTCAACTTTGGAAATTCTATTCCTAGAAAACAAACACAGAGACGATCAAAGTTATTTCTACTCCTTCTTTTTTTCCAACTCAATACTAATGAATTTGCCCATTAATATCATATTTTACTAAGTCCAAGACACCAACAATTGTAACATGCACCATTGTTTTCTGTACTACTAAGAAAAGCACACTAAATTAAACAATGACACACCATCAGTAGTAAAATACTCCCAATTTCTGAGATGTTAAGATGTGACAAATGTGCATCTTAGGATTAATAAAATAAAGAATGAGACGAATGGAAGTGATTTAAAAAAAAGATTACAGATACAGAGCTAAAATTAACCTAGACCAAAAGAACTTATCACATATTCATAGAAAATAGTTGTGCAAACTTCCAGAGTTTTTATGGACAGCCACTTGAGCACTGGACTCTGGGGCTATGCAACACTTACACTGCAATCCTGTGTCAAGCTCAAAAGCATGAATGATTTTCAATAGTTCTTCAACAAGTTGACTAAATCTAGTACTTTCTTGAAGGCTTCTGAAATGAAAGTGTTTGAGAGACACACTTAGGAAGTTATTATCACCTTTTTAAGGAGAGTAAAATAAGGAAAGATATGTAAACAAATAAATAAGATGCAGCAACAGTAGAAAACCTATATTCAAAGAACAGAGCTATTAGTGACCTTACACTATAATACATTGACATCAGAATAAACTGTGGCAGTATTTATTGTTTTTATCATTTTTTATCATTCAAGTCTGCCAAAAATCTGATTACCTGATACAACACTATCCTAAAGCCAAAGTAGATATAAATCCACTGCACAGAGAACTTACTACTCTTAACATCTGTTTCCTACCCAATCCCTCACTGCTAGCTCTACTTCTCGGGAATTGCCGTGAAATGATGATTATATTATTTTAAAACACAGATAGATAACAATGTCCAAAGAGAGATTTGGGTAGGAAAGTTGAAGGAAGATATAACTCACTCATTCCTTTAAATATTTGAGTGTCTACTATGTACCAAACACTGGAGAAACAGTATTGATTGAGACAAAGTCACTACCCTAATAAAACTTACACTGTGGCAAGAGAGATGCTCAATATATAAACACAGTGTGTGTGTGTATGCGTGTGTAAATAATTAGGCAGAAATAAATGCAATGAAGAAAAATAAAAGCAGGATTAGCAGACAATGGGGGCAGGGTGGTGCAGTCCTATTTTCGGTAAGACTGCAGTTCTTATGCTATTCAGAAGCATTAAAAAAGGCAGTTAAGTTGCTAATACCTGTACAAGGCAGATGTCCCATAAAATTTTCAGGGAAATAACTAGAAATAATTTACTATCTGCTAAACACACTTTTATATATTTTTTCTATTGATAAATGGTATTACAGGAACATCAGCCATGTTACTGAAGAATTTCTACATTTTCCTACTGTTGTCACATCATTGCCTAAATTATATACCTTTTGGTTATATCATTCTTACACAAAGGACATTGTGAAGGACCTTTCTTCTGGTTGAGAAGTTTCAGCATACAAAACCTATAAATTATAATGAAAGAAAAGAACAAATCAAGATATTTCCTTCTGTAGAAAGAATACTCAAAAGACAAATAGCCATGAAAAGATTATCTCACTGCCTTTAGGAGCCATTTAAAAGGTAATGGCAGGTGTTACGAGCAGTGGTTTTCTCTAACTGTTTTTAGATGTTGCATAAGCAGAAAACCAAACTACACAAGCAGTAATCTATGAAAACTAAAGTTACATGCATATGGCTTACTGTTATGATCAAATAAAACTTATTTAAGAGTTAATATGGCATATGTAATGATATATATATAATCAGACAAATGGTAAATAGTTCATGTAATATGCTTATAATTACTTTAAAAACTCAGCACTTCACTACAAAGCTACAGTAATCAAGATAGTGTGGTACTGGCATATGGATAGACATATATACCAATGGGATGGAACTAAGAGTCCAGAAATAAACCCATAGTGATTCTCAACAATAATACCAAGACAACTAGATGGGAAAAGAATAGTATTTTTAAATAAATTGTTTTGAGACCACTGGATAGCCACGTGCAAAAGAATAAAGTTAGATTCCTATCTCACAGCACACTCAAAACTTAACTTAAAATGGATCACAGACCAGTAGTAGAAATAGCAGTGGTGATGATAATTAAAAGCAGCAATTCACTCATCTTTGTTTTTTTTTTTTTAAAAGATGACCGGTAACAGGATCTTAACCCTTGACTTGGTGTTGTCAGCACCATGCTCTCCCAAGTGAGCGAACTGGCCATCCCTATATAGAGATCTGAACCCGTGGCCTTAGTGTTATCAGGGCATTGCTTCTCAAACTTTAATGTATATGAGAATCTCCTGGGGATCTTGTTAAAACAAAGATTCTAATTCAGCCTGTTTGGGGCAGGGCTAAGATTCTAGCAAGCTCCTATGTGATGCTGTTGCTCCTGACGTATGAGCCCCACTTTGAGTAGTAAGTTCCTAGAGCTGCACTGTCCAGTATAGAAGGCACTAGCTACATGTGGCTATTGAGCATTTGCATTGTGGCTAGTTTGAACTGAGGTATAGTGTAAGTATGAAAAAACATAGTCTTTTGAAGACTTAGTACAAAAAAAGAATGTCAAATAGCACAATAACTTTTTAAAAATTGATTATATTTTGAAATGATAAATTTTAGTCATAATTGGGTTAAATAATATATATATCATATGAGGGTACTTCAAAAAGTTTGTGGAAAAGTAAATTTGAAAGATAATGCCAATCTTTCCATGAATGTTTTGAAGACCACTCATATAAACATATATAAATGTATAATTAAAATTAATTTTACCTATTTGTTTTTACTTTTAAAAATGTGGCTACTAGATAAAGAAAGACCACAATAAAATGTTGAACCTTCAGAAGGAGAGAACAGACCTATAGTTACTAGAGGTGGGAAAGGGGGAGAGGGAGGGAAGTTAGGAAGTAACTGGTAAGGGACACAAAGAGTAACTACAATTTGTAATGATGAACATGCTAATAATATTGGTTTGATAGTCATATACTGTACACAGATACTGATAGTCAACTCTGTACCCCATAAATATTTATAATCCAAAGTAAATAATAAATAAATAAATTTTGAAATACTTAATTTTAAAAAATGTGGCTATTAGAAAATTTAAGTTACATTTATGGCTCACATTATATTTTTCAGACAATGTAGTTCTAAATCACCCAAAAATTATTATACATTTTATTTGTTGTTTGGAAACTTCAAGTTAAAGCATGGATGGCCTAAGTAATTTTTTTCCAGGTGGATATTATCTTTTTGATATATTTCATTAAAGATTTCAGAACTATAGGCTTGGATTCAAAATGGCGACGGGTCTGGAGCGCCCGCGTCAGGAAACAGCGCGATCCTGAGA